GTACGGGGGCAACACTGAGGGTTGCGATCCGTTGCCGGACACGGAAAAAAGACAAAAAAGTCAAAAAAAAAAAAATGGGCAAAGGACCTGAATAGACATTTCCCAAAAGAAGTCATACAAATGGCCAACAGGCACGTCAAAAAATGATAAGAATCATTAATTATCAGGGAAATGCACATTAAAAATCACAATGTGATATCACCTCACTCCAATTAGAATTGCTATTATCAAGACAAAAAGTAACAAAGGCTGACAAGGACTTGGAGAAAAATTAAGTCACCGTACTGCTGGTGGAAGTGTAAACTGGTATAGCCACTGTGGAAAGCGATATGGAGTTTCCTCACAGAACTAAAAGTAGATATGCCCTTCAACCAAGCTATCTCACTACTAGGTATATACTCAAAGGAAATGAAAACAATTTGATCAAAAAGACACCTGCACTCCCATGTGCATCACAGCACTATTCACAATAGCCAAGAAATGGAATCAACCTAAATGTCAACAGATGAATGGATAAAAAAACTGTGGTACATATACACAATGGAATACCATGCACCTACCAAGAAATGGAATCAACCTAAATGTCTGTCAACAGATGAATGGATAAAAAAACTGTGGTACATATACACAATGGAATACCATGCACCTATTTTTTAAAATGACATCTTATAATTTGCATATTTTTTAAAATGACATCTTATAATTTGCAGTAACACAGGTAGAACTGGAAAGCAACAAGTGAGGCACAGAAAGATAAATACTGCGTAATATCATGCATATGTGGAATCTAAACAAACAAAAGTGGTTCTCATAGAAGTACAGAGTAGAATAAAGGTTACCAGAGGCTGGATATCAGGGAGGTGTGGGGAAAAAATTTTGTGGACTACTGGGTACAAAACTATGCTATCTTTCATACATGAATAATTGTGCGGTATACACATGTATTAAGACATGTACATACCACATATATGTGTAAAAATAAATGTTAAAATATTAAAAACACACATAGTATTTGCTTTTAACAGTTTAAAAGATAGACCTGACACCATGCTGTGTTCCAAAAAGAAAAGTTCTACTTATATGACAGCTTATTAACATAAAAACACATTTCCTTCAAACAACAGAATAACCAATAACTATACCTGCTGTGATTGGAGATACCCAAGACTCAGTAATAGCCAACCTTGAAGCAATTTCTAAGTTATAATTCAATCCGAAAATTGCAGTATGCAACATTGCTGAGGTAATGTTATAAACTCAACTTCTGTCATCTAAGATACCTTCTGTTTGAACAAACAAAATCCATAACTTTAGTTTCCCCACTTACCCCTGCCCCTTAATTTATATTCTACATGTGGTAGACAGATCCTATTATAAGAACTGAGTCACGCCCTCATGTAATATTCTACACTGGAGCGTGGATGGGACTTGTGGCTTGACTCGAAGAGTATGGCAAAGGTGCAGAGATGTCATTCCTGTTACTATTAAGAATATCCTAGCAGATGGGAGTAAAACCCTCCCTTGCTAACATAAAAGCAGCTCTGTGTGTCCTGCCTATGCAAAGGCATGGAAATGAGTGTGACCTCTAGTCAGCACCCGGTAAGTAACTGGACCCTCAGTAATATGTCATTAAGGAAAATTCTGACTAAACCTGAATGAGCTTGGAAACAAAGTTCCAAGTAAGAATATATAACCCTGCCGACACCTGATTACAGCCTTCCGAGATTCTCAACACAGTCTGGCTAAGCCATGCCCAGATTTCTGATCCACAGAAATTTGAGTTAATAAATATATGCTGTTTCAGCCAACAAATTGGTGGCTATTTGTTATACAGCAATAGAAACCTAGTGCTCTGCAAAAATGTTACAAAACAGATCAGCTCCTTGGTTGGCTATTTCAGTGATCCTTCACATCATCATTCACATTAGCTCTACAGCCTTTTGCCCTGCCTGAGGGCCATAAAATCCAACCAGGGGACATGTCCACAAACATCAATGTCCTGCTGCAGAAAAATCACCCTTTCCACGTCCTTTTCTTTTTGAGGAGACTTTTCAGGCATGCTAAAGAATCCTCCTAGTGTGTCACTGTACAGAGCATCATCACATGCTCACCCCAAAAAGGTCACTAAAAAAATCATTAGCATGAGCAAAGCATTAAAATTAGCCTGAGCAAATCATTAAAATCTCAAACAAAAAGCAAATCATTAAAAGCTCAAACAAAATAAATACCTTAATAACCATGTGTACAGATGGGCAACTAAACCCGTATTGACTTCACCAAAAAGTGAGATGGTTTTTGGGCAGCCAAACAATAGTTCATTATCACCTCCTACCAATTTCTTACAGAGGAATTTTGGAAACCATCATAGCTGCAGATTACACAGTGTTTGCCAGGTGCCAGGTAATACCCCAATCACTTTAATAATCTGAATTACTCCTCATAATGTCCCTGTGAGGTAGCTTCTATTATTTCCTTATTGAATTTTAAGGAACAGAAGCCCATGGAGGTTAGTGCAATGTCGTGGGACAAAAGTGATGTTGGGATTTACCATGTTGCTCCTATTAGTAGCAAAGCACACACACAGAACTCATCACTGACAATAAAAATGGAAGAGATCCCTCAGTTACACAGCATTTGGTTTGTGTACCAAATGTATATGTACTCATAACTATGCTGCTCCCACATTTAAACATGTGAGGAATAGCATCGAAGAACAATTTTTCCTACTAGAGACT